CTTAGAATCCAATAAAATGACGGATTCATTAAGGAACTCAAGCTCATTGGGGAAATTCTATACTAACAGTCAGAACGGAAGGTGTTAAAATTTGCAATTGTACTTAATCCTCATAAGCCATTCATAAATAAGCTTGAAAGGATAAGATCAAAATGAGTTTCCTGAAAAACGTTGATTCTGCATGCTATGGATTGCTTAACTGAATGCGTTTCCTTCCAATCGTTAAATAATAATAAAAACATAATATAACATAATATAACATAATATAACATAAATAACATATAGTGTAGTAGTATATAAAAACTTCGTAAGATTAAATATTCATTTAATTAACTTAAGTGTAAATCTCTTCAGTGAACTAAAGCGCGACTGCACTGAACTCGACTTTTTTATTTATACTTGTGTTTATACACTCTCTAATATTCATTCATAAACATTTTTTTGATAAAGATTTTTAGATAAGGATTTTTTCAAGATTCACTTATTTTTATACCTTTAAATTTAAATTTGTTCATCGCAACATAGAGCTCTCTTGTCTTCTAAGGCATTAGTTCCGATTGAAAACATGGAAGTTTTGCTAACTAATCCTCGTGGCCAGTTGGATTTGTAATTAATGAATTCATTTTTCGGGATAGGCCCCTGATACTAATTTGGTAGTTCCCCCACCCTAAAAAATCCAAATGTATCTTCAGGCCCAATAACTTTCATTTATCAAATGTTATGAGCGAAAACTCAAAAATTCGCTCTACTTTCCTAAATTCAATGAGCACAGAATTTTATTGTTCGGCTTTCACGAAAACCTGGTTAAAGTCTAATTTACATTCGCCGGAACTTTTTCATAATTCTTTCGAAGTTGTGAAGAAGGATCGTTTGGATCGCAGTGATGACGGTGTTTTAATTGCCATATCCGCTGCAGTTCCGTCCTATTCATTTGAATTTTCTCCTGCTCCTAACGTTGAATTTATTGCCATTCGGGCAAAAATTGGACTAAACAGCTACATGTAACTTGCTCCTACATTCCATTAAATGCGGATATCTCTTATGAGAAACATGCTGCTGTTTGTGATGTGGCCGCAAATCTAAACCTACCGATATGGTTGTAGCGTTGGGAAACTTCATTTTGCCACTTGGTAATAATTCTGGCTGTGTAGTCCTCACTTTAACATCCGATAGAGCTTTTGTGTTTTTCAATGATGTATTCGATCGTAATTTACTTCAATTCACCCGTACTCCTCATTGTAATGCAGACTGCTACATCTTTGCTTTACCAATTTCCCGGAGACAGTTGTAAAGCGTTGTCCGCCTTTTAGTTTACCTAAGAATCCGCATAATCCAGCGATATGTATTTCCTTCCTTTGCAGGCATGATGGTCCGTTGAACTATTCTAGCGTGCCAAATGTAATTTCTTCAAATAAACATTATGATTTTAATAAAACATATAAATAAAATAAAAACTATGTTAGTGTTTAAATCTCATATTTCGCCCATTGTGCCCGTTTTCTTTTGGTGGGAATATTGAAACTTTACTCTCTTCGTTCCATAATATATTAAACCTGGCTATTTCTGCATTCGTTCCGAGGTAGTTTACCTCTACCTCGAAGCAAGTGCCCGCCATGGTTTAATAACAGAATTAAATATTATGAAAATAGGGAAAACACCCTTTTTAAGAAATTTATGAGAAGTGGTTCTGCTTACGGCTCATTCGCCTATTCTACTTCAACTCCAAAAAAAAATCTGTATATATCCCTCGCATGTTTCTTTCAATGACTTTAAGTTCTTTGATGATATTGAAATTTCAAATCTGCTCGCTAAATACTTCAGACGAAAATTCTCAACTGCTTATTGCGATTTAAATATTAAGTACCCGTTTCGGATAACTAACCTAGTTTCGACTTCTAATTTGGTCATTTCAGAAAACGTCGTTTTAGGTACTTCGAGGTCTCTAAAATATACTTGTGCGCTTGGGCCTCATGGGATCCCAAACTATGCTCCGACGAGCTACGTGGTGTTGTTTCAAAGATTTTTAATTAGTTCTTGAAATCAGTTGTTTTTCCTTTGTGTTGGAAGAGTGGATTCCTTATTCCGCTTCACAAATGTGGAAATAGACATCATGTTGAGAACTACAAAGGTAACAGCCAAGTAGAATGTCTTTCATAAATTATTTGTACGCTGACGAATGTTAAACTGTTTTCTTCCTTGTCCTTGGGATCGCAATCGTATCAACTTCAAATTGACTTAAATGATTTGATTATATTGTGCTCGTTAAAGAAGTTTTTTTTCTCAAAGAGGAAGTCATTCAATACTAAGTATTTCATTGATTCACACAAATTGGAAAGCGTTGATTTAGGGGTTCTATTCAACGAAAGATTATATTTTAATCTTCACATTAAGTTCTCTTTAAGTAAAGCTATGTCCGCGCTAGGTTATATTGAGAGGTGGTCCAATCCGTTCAAAAGCAGATGTTGCTTTTTTGTTGGGAACCGCTTCTCTCTCTGCCTCTTTATGATAATAGGTTTCTTGTGTTAGATTTATTCTTGATGCTTCCTTCTTAATTAGTTACAGTTGTTATCTACCGAAAGTTTTGGCCAACCTTACAGTGCCACTGGAAGAGGAATGAACGTCTGTGAGTTATGCGTACGTGCCATAGCTGAGCTAGCTAGTCTGTGAGGTGCATGACGGGTTCTATATTTTTACAGACGGACCCTTCTAGGGCGGTTACACCAAAGAAATTGCGCGTACTTATCCCTTACCGAATACGTGGACGGAGCGGGAATTCTGCTTCTAGGGACTTTCATTACCCACTCCGCCTGTTGGTTTCCCTCCGGCCAAAGAAAGTTATTGGGAGACCCCGAAGTTGGATCCGAAGACCTAAACCTACCTTCCTCTCTTAAAATAATAAAACTTTTTACTTCATTTTATTCTTGTACATTTTATCTAATATTTAATATAATAATAATAAACATAATAAAGATAATAAATCGGCTAGAGAAAGGGATATTGAATTTTAAGTTAAAATTTCAGCTTATATATGTATGTTATATGTGTATGTACCTATAAGCTTTTATATATAATAAAAGTACCTTGCCGTTTACATAAATCGTTTATCTATGTAATTTAGTAATCATTAATAAACATTTCTCGTTATATTATTGTGGCCACAACTTATTTAACTATTTTCAAATATGGCATACAATACCTCTGAGCAGTGACATGTGAATGTTTCTGGTTAAAATTCAAAAATCTTGAACGCAGACAAACATACAATATTTCTGTAAGCATTCACCTTTACTATCAAACTAACAGAATAACGCATCGGAACTAAACGTTCTTAAATCACATCAAAACACATTTGTTCATATGGGGGTTGAATTGTGTTCATCCAAGATGTAGTCCGTATCAAGTCCATAGAATTTGCTACATTTCAGATACAAAGAATGGTCTTGCTTGCCTGGTAAAACTAGAGCTGTTTTGATTAGTTGTGCGAGGCCTACAAAGATCCAACAAGACACTATTAATTATGTTTCCTCAATGTTCACTTGTTTATGCGTTAGAAACCAAATAAATTATAATTTATTTGATGTGGCTATTTTTATATTGTTTTATTGAATTGTTAAGCGGTCGAACACAAAATATGATAAATTTCTACATGTATTTGCGAAGATCTCCAACAGTATACAGCGTAATAACAATTCAAAATTCAAAAATTTTTCTCCAATTTCAGATTTATTTATATATTTATATATTCCACATATACAAGAAACTCAACTAAAACAAAATGGCAGTCGAGTTCAATTGACTCTTAAAGTAAATCTTAAATTAATTAATTTTAAAACTTAACATTAAAATTTAGTATAAGTGCAATAAAACAAATAAGAAGGAAAAAAAAAAGAAAAAAAGCATGTACACAACTAGCATAGAGCCACACCCACATTTACTAATTTGATTAAGAAGGAAACCCCAAGAACCCCCAAGAACAAATTTACGTTTCTCCAGTGATGGTAAGGATAACAGAAGCAACCTATTGTCATAGGGTGGAAGAGAGACAAACGGATCCCAAACCAAATTCTTAAGGGCAAACAACAAGAATTGCTTTTGAACAGATTCAATTGAGTCTACGTAGCACCAATATGAAGGAGACCACACAACAGAAGCATACTCAAGTACACATGTAAAGCCGTACACATGTAAAGCCTTTTCGTAATATGAGGATCATCAAGCTCTTTGGACCACGTCTTTATAAAACCAAGCGCGGATCTAGCTTTGCTTAACGAGAGCTCAATATGCAAATTGAAGCGTAACCTATAATCAAATAGAACGCCTAAATCTGTGAACGAATCGACGTCTTCCAATTTGTGCGAATCAATGAAATATTGAGTACTGAACGACCTCCTTCTTGAAGAAAGAAAGCTTCTTACATTTATTTAGATTTAGTTTCAGTTTGCTGTGTAAGTTAACCAAATGTACACTTTTGTAGTTGTTATTTTTGAGGACGATTTTTTAATAAAATTGTTCTCTTGTAAATTATGTATTACTCTTATTTGCATTTATTTTCTCATTTCCGATCAAAAAACAACTTTTGTTTGCAGAAACCGAAATGATATCTACCACTTTATCTCAATATCGGGCTATTTAAAGTTTATCAAGGCAACTATGCTTAATACGCGCGATTTGTCTATGTCGCATATAAACTAATTAAAGAATGAGTTGGAACCAGGACGAGTACAAAACTACATCCATGTTTCTGCAAACTCGTTTATCCATTTTTACATTGCCACAATGTATCTTGCAATAAATTTGACGTGTTAATTATTTATTGCATTACGACAAAATTTATGGGATTGCCAAAGATACAAGGCTGATACGTTCGCGTCCCTTGCTTATTTCTTTTGAATCATTGTTTTCAACTAGGGCAAATTATAGTTATTTAATTTTTCTTTTTTTTCTTAAATTTAATTTTCCATTTCTTTTAAAATCTTTATTTCTTTTTATAATTTTTTCAGTTCACAAGAATAACTAACATTAAGCAAAAAGATAACCTCATTTTATAAAGAACTGTCCTTCCTACACATTGCATTATGGATCACTATAAAAGGTAAGCCAGTGATCGTTTCAAGTTTATTCACTACATATTCTATCATTTATATATAAATATGCGTATATAATCTTCTAGACTCATTGCGTGACCATGATACATTGGATTTGCTGCTATAACGTAACATGCCCGGAATATAACATAGTTAACAAACCGCATTACTTCGCAAATATTATCATATAAGGCTATCGCCGGTTATTTTACGTTTATTTAGCAGGTTTTTAAAGTAATTGTAAAAGGCAAATTTAAAATCAGTAGGACCTGACCGGACAAGTAACCAAAAGAAAGCTGTATTAAGATAATAACAAAAAATATTATTAAATTTTCTCCGCCGAAGACAATTGGTAGTTTGGTGAGCTCGATTTACGATTTTCGTTATCAAGTTAATACGATAGGGAAATTGCATTTTAAGTTGATAGTTTTCAGTATCAATCAACTCCTAACCAGATAGCGTATTAGTATTCACTCGATATCTTCTTCTTCTGTAGGTAAAAATAATGAAGAAATGGAAAATACGAATGTACATAATGTTTGAATTCGATGGTTTTGACCTTCCTCTAAACAGAACAACAGTCTTCCATTTAATATTAATTTATTCGAAGTACGCCGACACTACTCGTGTAGCGCTCAATATTCTCCTTCATCCAAATTCATTACTTCTGTTGTTTATTTGAAGAAATCTGCTCCCGCAGCCTACTAAACACGTTTAGACTCTTATGGTGATGCTGCTCGATCGTATCCCAATTGTCGATTATGTGTTCAACGGTTTAAAAGTAGCGGAACGAATTGACTGAAAATGCCATTTTTTGGCCACTTGTTGCAAGAGTTGTCCACAATACACTGTTATAGCCCGAATCGGAAGTTCTGCAACACGTAGCGTACTCCGCAAACATGGTACCCCCGATTACCACTTGTTGTTGATCGGTACAGCGTGGTTAGGCTGGCACGACCTTTATAAAACTTTCTTTTCGTCTTTAGAAAGATACACATTTGATAGAAAAAGTAATTTATCTCAGAAATTCCAAACGTTGGCAAAAATAATAAAACCAAATCATTATTTTTTTGGGCGGTTTCATCTGTCGTTGCCATAAAATTTGAAAAAGGGAATTAGCGGAAAATGTTGTGTAAACGATGAAAAGTGGAAATAGAGAATTAATTACCAGAAATTATTTCAAGTATTCTGGAAATGTAATATTCTGATTTTGTTTGGGCTATATAAGGCAAATTTAATAAGGAAATTATAAATATCAAGCTGGTTATTAACAAAAATTTAAGCAAAGGGTTATATATTTAAATCAATTTATTAGACTTTGCTTTCCGTTTTCGTTAAACACATTTTTTCGTAATTTTTTTTTTATAAAATATTATATCTCGTTTGTTTGCTTAGTTACTTTTGTTTCTCTTCCTTGCATTATTTTGCTATACATTTTGTTACGCGTTGATGTTCTAAATATTCGGTTGTAATTGCAATGAATGGGAAGCTGTACTCGATACGAAAATAATCGAGTACTGTCAACCCAACAAGCAATAGTATCGTTTCTGCGCTCCGCAGCGTATGGTAGCTCGATAACGCAAACTAGAACCGCAAACCCATCCCTGGTGTAGAATGAGTTCAAACCAACGTTGATGATATTAAAGGCAGCGGATGCCCAAAAACGTGGTTATTCTAGGAAATATCAAAGGGATATTGAAATTCTCGATAGTCGAAGAAGATAGTTGGCGGTCTAAAGATATCAGAAAGCAGTTTATTCACTGTTTTGCAGAAGAATTTGACTGTGAGAAAGAAAGATATGTCTCAGATGCATGCAGTGTTTATTTAGAAGATGGCATCGTGGCACAAGCCTATGGCAACGATGCGAAATTAGGGGACTTTTCAACGTGTGCTGGGAGACATTTAATTCCGTTTTCTTTTAAGCTAAGAATAAAACAATTAAGAGCAGTACAGCAACAATGCCGACCATAACATATCCTACAGCACCTTTCCTAATAGAGTCACTCATTTCGTAATTTAGAGTCATTCATTTTCGTAATAGTAGACGAAAAATTATATTTTACTTTTAAGTAAAGCATGTTTCGTATATTAGAGAACGGTCAGAATTTGTGGCAAGGGTTTAACGTGGGTTCCTGCCTGAAAGGCTTAACCCCACGGTGGCCCAAGCCACTTTTAAGCGTACTACGCCCCCTGGCGAGTTAGACAATCCCCACAGAGTAGGGGCCTAAACAGCACCAGAGTCCAGAACAGTTTATTGTGTATGGAACAATAAACCCCACTCTGGTCAATGGCGAGGCCTAGCTGCACTCAATTGTTCCATTTTAGCTAGGAACTCGCCAACCACAACCACCACGAGTGCTCCCCGAAGGGCCGCACCCAAGCAGTCAGGACTTACAAATTGATCAACTGACTGCTTCCGCCAGGACGGTCAGAAATTTGTGGCAAGGGTTTAACGTGGGTTCCTGCCTGAAAGGCTTAACCCCACGGTGGCCCAAGCCACTTTTAAGCGTACTACGCCCCCTGGCGAGTTAGACAATCCCCACAGAGTAGGGGCCTAAACAGCACCAGAGTCCAGAACAGTTTATTGTGTATGGAACAATAAACCCCACCTAGGCCTCGCCGCCTAGCTGCACTCAATTGTTCCATTTTAGCTAGGAACTCGCCAACCACAACCACCACGAGTACTCCCCGAAGGGCCGCACCCAAGCAGTCAGGACTCACAAATTGATCAACTGACTGGTTCCGCCATAAGGCTTCCACTGTGCTGTTGATCAATTACCACCATTACCCGCAGGCATCCGTGACATGTGTTCAAAAGTAAAAATAGGTAAAAGGGGAAAACTTATTCGAAGCAGGACGGTCAGTATTACAAACTTATTTTAAGTGTTAAGGATTTTATTATTTTCCAGTTGCTTTTGTCATAAAAAACTACAAATTGGCCTTTGCCGCCATTAAAGGGTTTACCTTTCGCAGGGACTCCGACAGGATAAATATGATCCAAATTTTCTACGGTTCATTTTTATGCTACTACGGGCCGATTTTCATCATAAGATATTAAAAACTATATCGTTTGGAATGTATTAATATTTCATAACACACTTCTACGCGATGATGTCGAAAAAATAAACCTACTTCATCCGAACTTGATACAGTTAAATTTTGTGTCAAATTACTATCACAAGTCAATTTTCATCATAACATGGTAAAACTTAGCCTTTCCTGCGCGAAAAAACCGAAGGATTTCGTAAAGATCGTAGGAAACAAAAATAGGTGTACGTGGTCCAAATTTTGTACAGTTAATTTTTATATCAAATTTCTTTTACAAGGTCAATTTACGTAAAGTAAAATTTCGCAACATTTTTTCGTTAGCCTTACATAGGATAGAGTCCAAAAAGTTGTCCGAGATGGTCCTCATTTGGTACAATTTACTTTTTTTATCTTAAATTACTATTATGATCTAAATTTGATCACAAAGCAATGAGAATTAGACCTTTTTTTATATGAAATTCAGTTTGCTTTAGATGAAAGCGATCCAAAGTTTTCCCATATTACGACTTTTCAAAATACGGTGTTATGTGGGGAGTAATCAAAAAAGTGGACCAATTTAAGCTATTTTCAATAGCGTTCGTCTTTGGGTCAGAGCACATCATTGTATCAAATTTCACCATCCGCAATAAGTTAACATATCCTGTATCACAAGTGATGTAGGGTACAAAAACGAAATTTTCCATTACGTTACCTGCAGTATATTTTCTTCTGGAATTTTCCGTTACTCACTATACGTTTTTATATCTTACACAACTTGTGGTACAGGATATATTAAGTTTGCAATCCAAAGAATGACTTAAATTGGCCAACCTTTTAGTATAGCGATCGATTTTGAATCACTTACTGAATTGATCTAAGCTTGTCTGCCCGTCCATCCGCCTGATGTCCGTTTAGGTATTTTTGTGTTCAATATACAGGAAGCAAATTTTTGATATATTTTAATGAGATTTGGTACACTATGTTTTGGTGCAACGACGAACGCTATTCAAAATAGTTCAAATCAGACCCCTTTTTCGACCACTCCCCATATAGCGCCATATTCTGAAAAGTCGATGTATAAAAAAAAAATGCCCATTTTCAAAATTTCTCAGCAAAAGTGACTAAGTAGTGGAATTTAATCATTCTAAATTGGTGTGAAAACTTCGGAATAGTTGGGGCATTTTTTGAAGCCCCTCATATATCGAAAACTAAAAGCTTGCAGTGTCAGATTTGTTTAGATTTCGCGAAGGTTTGGTATTGAGATTTGAGAAAACAGAAACAGAATTTAAGTGAAAAATCACTAAAGATTTAGCAATATACTTAATCGGCATCGTTGTTTTAATATAGGCAAGTTCAAACCCGACAGCTTGTTTCACATCACAAACAGAGATAAGCAGAGAGTCTTATATTGGCCTATTTTTTGGATCCTCTCCTAAAAACCATTTTCACGAAAATTGATCCTTTGTAGAGCAGAAAAGTCTAAATTTTAATATGTGATGAAAATTGACCCTTAATAGTAGTTTCATACACAAATAAGAATTGTGTTGTACAATGTAATGTAGGGTATTTTTAGCGGTCGGCCTTGACCGACTTTAATGTTCTTACTTATTTTAGATGAGATCGGTAATATATACTCGAATATTGCAGCAAGGTCGTAAATAGAAAATTTGGATTTATAATTAAAAATTTCCCACGTTCCTTCAGTATATAAAATATAAAATTCGAATGCACAATTAATCTATTTGTCACAACATAATCATTTTTATTGTTCTGCTTGGTTAAATTCTTTTTTCTTTTTTTTTTTGTCAAGCACATAAACTAAAGCAAACGGTGTTTAAGGCAATCAAGCCGAAACGCACCACGTTTTGACAATTTTTTTTGCATATACGTGGAAAGGATATGACATATGTGGCTTTTCTGAATTTACTTAGTTTAAGATACCTAGGTATTTGTACATATATGTAATCTTTCCACTTCGAGTAAAAATTGAGCAAGTTTTTTAACACGCAACAATTTGCCTAAATTTCAGTTTCGGTTAAAATTCTTTAAGCCGAGTATTACACGTTTCTGCAATTTGTTTTCCAGGAAATTCACCAGCAAACCTACCTTTAACAGAAAGTTTTAATGCTCTTTGCCGTACTAGACTGCTGTAGAGAGGGTAAGAGGGAGAAAGAGAAAGTTCATATCAGTATTTTTTTTTTTGCCAACTAAATAGGGGATCTGATATAATTACAGGTCTCTCAGGAAAGGTTATTTTTGAAGTGAATGTACGTCTACTTTGACTTTTCCATTGATTACTTCATCATAGTTAGCGTGCTATTCGGACGTTACTCATATTCATCTGCCAGGCACATTACCTTGAGTTACTTTAGTGGTGATGACGTTATGTACCCGTAAACCGCATCACTCTGCTTGCGTCCTTTGAATCTATAGTGCGCTGCGTTTGAAGTTGGTAATAATTACGTTTACCATCAAATTGATCACATTATTTATTTGTATTTACTACTATTTTCATTTTGAAAACTATTGAGTGCATAATTTTGCTAGATTGAGCTTGATTAAGTTATATAAGAAAGAAACAACGGGTATTATTTTTGAATTGTGCCGACTCTCTGATAACCATAAATCTTTTATTTTGCAAGTTTTACAATCAAATTTGGTTATATGTCAAATGCGGACCATTTTTACAAATAATAAACTGACAACACTATTGGCGTTGTCTACCGATTACTGCAGAATGCCCAATGCAAATTCAGTTCTGTATAGAGTTTAACTACGTCTACATAACTTGACCAGAATTTGTAGATGACGTGGAATTTTTGCTGTATAGATAAAACTGCCAATAGCAAACAAAAACTAGGTATTATTATAAAAGAAGGAAAGTGAAAAAGCTCACGAAAACAAAAACTATAAAAAGAAAGAGAAAAACTTGCTTTGTTAAAGAAAATATTTAAATAAAAAATCAGCAAAGAGTTAGCAATATACTCAATCGGCATCGTTCTTTTAATATAGATAAGTTTAAACCCGACAGCTTGTTTCACATCACTTGCGGTTCCAAACAGAGATAAGCATATTATATTTCGATTTTCTTCTACTTTCTTTCTTTCTTCTTCGAACTTGCAAGTACTGGATGATTCTACTCTTTATTAAGGTTAAAATATACAAGGAATAATCGAGCCATGTCTGTATTTTTTTTTTCTTTCTTACAGCGACTTTCAGAAGTCCAAGGTAACAGACCAGCATCACTAAATCGGATCAGAATACTAAGAGAATCAAGTTATTGTTTTGTAATTGGAGTTAGAAATGACATGAGAAGTTTGCAATGTGAGATTTGTTCAGGCTTCGCGAAGGTTCGGTAACTTGAGAATTGAGTTTTGCAATAAATTACATTAATGATCAGTTCTGAGCATGACATTTTCGCCCTTATAAGGTTTTCGAAGCTAAATAGATGAAAATATTTGGCAACATAACAAATATAGCAAAACGAACATTTTTTATTATTACACATTGAAGAGCGAGTGATACGAACGAATATCAATAGTTTTATTATCTTATGTTACTTCGCGTAATACAGTTGTTTATATAACGATTTTTTAAAATAAGGTCTTATATTGGAAGTGATCGAATAGCTATCGAAGAACAGTTTCCCTTGACATTAATTAACTACAAATCAGAATTCGTCGTCGTAGAAGAGATTGGTTCTATGGCTTTTTTAAACTCGCTACGATTAATTTTTATCCGCCTCTTTGGTGTATAAGGTATAATATTTTATAACAATCATTGTAAGCGATGATGTCCAAGAAATAGATCACCAGATGCAAATTTCATATAGTTAAATTTTATATAAAATTGCGGGACATTTTTGTTGTAAAAACATATTTTGCATTCGAAATCTTATATGGGATAAAGTCCAAACAATAGACCTAGGCGAAAATCTGGGGAATAGGAAGGATTACGTGGCATGTGATTCAAAAAATTACCCAATCCGATCTAAATTTTCCATACTAATTTGAAATGTCGAGTCACTATTACCTATTCTATAGTTCCAAATACATAATAGCACATTTTGGATACAGAAATACGTTGGATCTTCTAAAATATTAATTTTTGTGTGATATACTAAGTGTTTAAATAAAAAATATTCGACGAAAAAAGGTAATTTTTTGTTACTAACCAATTTTTGAATTAACTTATGCAAAATATTCTACGGACTTCTCTTCAGAATGCTATTTTAAAGATACTTTAAAAAGTTTCTATGAAAAGAATCAAGTTGGTTGTAGTTATGCTGCACGGTTATTTAAAGTTTTGGAGTTCGGAAAAATTTTTTCATTATAATAAGATTTTCATTAACTTCTACCATCAGCAAGGCCTAAAATCTTAAAGGTACCCCTTCTTGTTGAAATATTTTGACTTATGCCATTTTTCACTAGAAGGCGCTCTTTTGCTACATCTGTCTTTTTTATTTGCCACTTTACATAAGTGGGCTTAGAAAATACCTTGAGAATGGCTGATGTATTGCCAAACTTAGTGAAGTTCTGGTAACTAAATGATTCACTTCTGTTTTAAGGTTTCATCGCCCTTTCAGCTTGGTTTCTTAATATGGAGATCAGCTTCCACCTTGAGTTTTATAGCCAAATTTTCAAAGCGTTTCCTGAGCACAATCAAATTAATGTTATCTCCACTGAATTTTTCAAAGCGTTTTTTTTCTTTTTTTTGGGTACTTTTTGTTTGTGTTTTAAATGCTTCAGCTTGATGATATTAAGTGTCATAAAAGTGTGTTCGATCTCCAAATATATAAACTTGATTTGTTGTTGTTTTCCAAAGATGTGTGTATCGCTATTCTGTCTATTATAGCGTTTTCGATTTTATCTGCCAACATGACATATTTACTTACACCATGTCGCACCAGATGTGCTGATATTACTGGCCGAGCTGCAGACGCAGTTCTACACCTAACGAAGGGGTTACGTTGGTCGTGCCCCGACAACTTGTATTGTAACATGTGGCCTTTCACCTCCCCTTCGCAAAAAGCTCTTGCCCATGTTTCCTGCCGCCCTTCCTCGAGGTCAACGATAGAATTTGTGCCATAGTAAACCAAGGTGATAATCCTAAGACGCCGAGCAGCCATTGTTGTGTTAACTATCTCCATTTAATTGAGACATTAGATCTAAATCTAAAAAAAAAAAAAAAACAAATGTGCTGAGCACCAGGTTGCACAGTTGAGTGGCTCCCAGTTCAACATCTGATAGACCTGTTATGCTTTGCAATAACTTATTTGCTCGTGACATATTTTCTGTTCAACATGACTTCATATTTTATGTTTCGCAATAGCCCACTTCTAATTTCTTGACTCACATAGCGATTTCTTTCGAATCACTCTCAGCCTCTATACTGGCTACGCTAATATATATATGTTTATACCACAAAACAAGGCAGCTATTAATTAGTAAGACGTTATAACGTAACCTCATAGACGGCCTTTCTGAGGTGCTTGAGGAAAAGCTTCAAATCTAAGAGAACAGTTCTCTTCAACTCATGAACTTTTTCCACACAAAATCAATTTGTCTCTTAAAAAATTTATAGCGGCTTCCCCCTTAGGTTGTAAATAAAAGATTCTGTAGGCCCCTTCACTCGATATTTCACTTTTTGCGAACTCGGAGAAACACAAAGGCAAACGACGTGCTTTTATAGCATTCCATTTAAAAACGAGGGCAAGTGATGAATTTCACTTAGGAATTGCAAACTTCGAATTAACTTTGACTGTTTTTATGTTAACAAATTTTGCATCATAAGGAATTTTCATAATCAAAATCTAATTGTAAACGGACTGCCTTCATTTGATGGCACTTTATCATTTGCTTCATTAGCCCTAAGGTCTTCATGAAGTAATCGACATGATATTTACAAGATTTATTCAGCTTTTCTAAGTGTTCAATTGACTTGCAGAGTTTCAAAATGCAGAATTCGTATTCGAAATGTATTAACCGTAAACTTAAGCGAACTAAATTTTCACATAATGTTCGTTTGTGAAATGTCAAATAAAATTTTATCCCCGACACGGTAAATAGAAAGTAATGGCTGCAATATGGATTGTTGTCACACTGTTTATGAAAAAGATCACTATAATTTTTTACCTGATTCGTTGTGAAATTCACAAAAAAATGTGTTCTTCTATTTTTTGTAGCCGACATCACAAGAGTAGTACCAAGAGCAATCACAACACCAACAACCCTAGGTCACATGTCTTATCACATAAAACTGCAGATAACACCAAATCATACGAGTTAGAACGCTGCACGTCAGTGTCACCTTCTTCGCCATCATCTCATAGGCCATTACCACGCTCATCATGCATATCTTCTGTGAATAAAGCCGTTGTCGTCAAGGTCAAGGCCGAGGAAGTTGTAATTTCATTCCCAGATGACTGCTCGCATATCTCATCCTCATCGTCAGAATTAATTAGTACCACCTCACAACTGGATACAAATAAAACGGCAGCAAAAATATCTTCCAGCCACGGTAAAACAGTAACGAAACGGAAACGTCGATCATCATCTAGCTTAGACTATGAGGTAAAGTATAAAATGTTTGCAGTTGAAATAATAATTTTTTAACTCTATCAAAGGTTTTACACAAGAATTCTCAAATTTTACATGAACCAATCTCTAAAAATTTGAACTAATTAAGACATGGGTAATAGATATTAGTTCTCACAATCGGCAAGTTATCCAACTATACATTTTATAGGTAACAAGGTTATGTCCCTTTCGAATTAAAAAAGAACGACCTTAAACGCAATTTGTTATACGCACTGTTTGCGTACATTGTTTGGATGTAGCAACTACACGCTTAAACGAATATGCGTTCATTCAATATATCCAAAAATGCAGATAGATTTTTCTCTTATATTGTATTTTATTCATTGCACAGATACAATCGAAACAGCTTTAGAGATATTGGGGTAAATGTAAGCCCCGACTGTGATACTCCTCCCTCATTTCTATATTTAAATACCGAAGCAATTTTTATGGGTATTACGTTTTGGGAAAGGAACAAATATGCATCTAAACTCAAACCGCAATGTATAGTGTATTCAAAACACCAAATGACGCTACACATCTAAGCTATCTTCCTCCAAATTCCCCAAAAGCAGCAACTAAAAAAACTTTTTGATTTTGCCTTTGGTGACGCTCTTCCCTGATGTTCCCCCATGTTTTCATGTTTCTTATCACAACAAATATAAACATCTCTAGTAAAAAAACCAGTTGCAGCTAAGTTCAAAAGTTATTTTTCTTTTACAAAATTAAATAAGATATTTTAGAGGATCTGTTTACCGGAATGCATATCGTGAGCATCATGATAATTGTGATTGTATTTACTACGAGGGTATGTAATCGTAAAAATTTCTTTTAAATTAGATTTCACTTCACATGCGCTATATATAGGTTACTGTTCGTGTCCTTCAGATATCTCTTCCTTTTAATGGTAAAATCCAAGCCATTGCTTAGTGTCATGTTCGTTCGCGTGACATAAGCCTATATGTTATTGAATGTTAAATATATAAATTACTTCTTAGCTTAGAGTTATCTTCAAAAGATATCCTATCTTCCTCTCTATTTTAAAAACTAAGAAGAATTTAAAACTCGTTGCGTAATTTAAAAAAAATGTGAATGAGATGAACACTATTTGCCTAGTGCTTTATTTTTACAGACATAACTTTCCCGGTATTTGTTTTACTTTAAAGAGACGTTCTAATCCTTGCTGCTTTGTTAACATTAGTAGCACGATTGCATAGTTTTCTCCATGAAAGTTAAATTTATTCCAATAGTATCGATAGTAAGTAAACAATGGAGCTTGAACCAGGCACGTAAATAAAAAAAACATGAAATAATCCTCGCTAATGTATTGCAGCGATTTATCTTCTAGACATGTCTCTTCACTTGCAGTTGGATATTTAATAGAAATTATGATGTTGGGCTTTAGATCACGACTATAATTTATTGAAAATATTATTATTATTATTATGAACTCAGCCAGAGAATAAATTCTAAGACGAAAGTCTTAAAGCACTAGCATCTAAGGCTTTCGGCTTTATTAAAAACCCTACCGCACTTGAGATTTGAACCCACGACCTTTGAGTTGCTAGTCGAGATTCTTGCCTACTTGGCCACTCAGCCGGATTTATTGAAAATAAATTTCCCTCGCTCGTTCAGAAGAGTTTTCACAGTAAATAGGTGTCCTTATGAATGTAAAGGCAATGTCATTTTTGTAACATTTGCTGTTTGATTTCCTTTTTTGTGATCATTTTCACCTTCGTCGTAAGGAACTAAATGAACCACTCACCCAGTCTTATTTTTAAAAATATGTGCACGCATGCGTGACCGTCATTACTCCTATGCTTGTATGTAATGATATAAAAAACATGTCGCTACCAGTAATAATTTTAAGGGTTTTTTTAGATTTCATTCCGCGAACTTTGTTTCCTGCATGATGTTATTGTCGTCGGCTTGTTATTAATATAGTAAATTTTATATTCCTTCGCACTCAAGATCTTTGCTTGGCTTGTATTTTAATAGCTCTTAGAGAGATTGTTTTCTTATCTTATTTTTAAATAAACTTTAGAGATTGTAGTCAAATACTTTCATAACGAGTATAAAGTTTTAAAAAGACGAATAGCGGAGGTTTTGAATTACATTTCCCAAATTGCATGTGAAAAATATGAAATTCATGTATGTAGAGCTGTGGACAATATGTATCGCGATGTGAAAGGCCTGTTGTATTCGATTACAATATTGGCATAATGCTTATAATACAGTTTGTTCGAATACGGGCACGTCAATGTTGAGTTTGCTACAAGGACAACTTTTTCGGACCGTAAGGAAATGAAGCTACGTTTACTGTGCTGCCATCTATTTTGTTTGCGTTCGATGGTCAGGGTGATTTTTTTCCAATTACGTGGTAACACCGAAAATCTTAAAGTGCTGCTTTTTTACATCTTTGGAATTTCTAAAGCCGAATAGAAAGCTGACACTTGACGTACAAATTTTTTGATCAATTCTGTAGATTAACCAGCAGTTGTATAAATGTAGATTTTAATATTAAATTTGGATATAAGCAGAATCTGAAATTCCTGAGCCGACAATTGATCAATAATTAGCAAACAGTTTTGTAATTTTTACACGAATGCGCTTCGAAGATGAATGAACAACTTGTACCACCAGAAAGAGACAACTATTTTTGCTTATGCAATCCAAACATTACCATACCTCATAGCACTGTTATAATTTATACATCCCCAAGGGCTAACGTAACTACACAAGTTGATTCTATACTTTGTTTAAATATTCTTATTTTTCATCACTTACTGTTTTTTTTTTAGCCATAATGGACAGATCTCACAAATAATAGACGAGTTCTGTGAATTCGTTCGCTTCCTATTCTTGTAAATACCAATCTGGACATCTTTACTTTCTCATAATAATATATTTTCCCTATTTTATTATGTTGATAATTTTTGTCCGTATTTGTTTAAATTGCCAGGTGTTCTTTTACTTGAAAACATTCATCGTCTCCTTCTTCTTTCGATCCCCGTGTTAGTCGGCACAACTGATTTAATTTTTTTAATATATGCAGTTGCGTTTGTCGCTCGCTGCTGAGGTTTCTTCAACTTAAGGGCGACTTTAATGAATGGATCGCTTTGTAAAGGAAGGCCGCCAAAAGTGTTTATTAAAGTTATTCAGCTGATCTAATGGTTTCTGCGTCAATTGTTCGATAGTTTTCGCTGTGATTGTTTTCATTTTAAAAGTGCATAGGAAAAAATTTGCACAAACCAAAAAAAAACCTTATAAATTCAACTGATTCCTTTTAGTGAGTCCTAAGCAAATAAAATTATTATGTTCGTTTGTGGATAAATCTTTTATCTCCCGCGCACCTTCGCCCAAAAAGCGTAACCAAAATTTTCCATTTTTGTACAGAAATCTATGTAAAAATTTTAATTGTTGAATCTATTGTTGTTCATGAGCACTGAGCAGAATGCAGGAGTGCTTTATTGTAGGTGCTTTTTTGACAAATTTTGACCGAATTTAATTCCTCACTTTCACGTTTTCATTTGTTATGACAGCCATAATGTCAAGAAAGCTTTCTATCCTAGGGGCAATGGCCCTTGAAGATATTTGCACTTCAATTTGTTATTTATTTTTCTAATCACTTGGAATATAGAAGAAAGGTGAAAAAAGAAACTTAAGCCTTGTATGCAAGTAAGTCAGAAGAAACAAAATCCCTTCTAGCGCTACCGCTTAGGATAGTGAGAAAAAAGACTTTCATAGTTTTTTTTTTGTTCTCAACGTGAAGAATTCATTTAACGCTAAAATAAATAATCCAGCTATCTTGTTGGATGATTATATTTTCCATTTTCTCTCATAAGATTAGTTCCTCATATTTTCTTGAATTGGGTATAACTGTTTTTCAGTTAAATTGAGTAGGTACGCATGTCGTAAAACAAATTTCTTACGTTGACTTGCGCCTTTAATTTACCTGATGTGATAAATTGTGACTATTTACGATTTGTCGATTTCTTCCTCTATTGTTCTTTTATGTATATCCTTATCTGTTTCTTGCTCTTCCTACATAAACTTTATGTTGAATTTTTGTTTGCGCCTAAAATAAAGGATCATACCAAAGGATATCATAGAAATTTTTTTTAATTTTCTTTTGTTATGACCTTCGCATGTTTAACGGAAGGCTGTTTACGTACCTAGTTATCTGCGTTCCCATAACACGCATAATGTGAGAGATCGTTCGTAACTTGGGTACGTATGATCTTTGGTGTTTGATATGATTGCTGCATTTTCAACAAAACTAACCCCCATTTACGTTTGCATAGCGAAGGATCTACGCAAGCAATTTCATTTACTGTCGCTTCAGTTCTACGTTACAATTCAATGTGATACATGCATTTCGCGCAAGCTTTAACAACACTCATGTTTATCGGTATGAGAAACTGTAATGTTTACAATTATTAATTAAGTTGTTTAAAGAAAATGTTAAAACTCCGGAATCAGAGTTCTATAAAAATATAAAAACAAAAACCATTTGTTGAGAAGTCTATAAAGTGCCATGTGAATCTATTTGAAATAATTACGAATCATATCTCTCTCTCTCGCGCGCACGCTCTTAAAATAACAATAAATTTCTTGACATATAATTGTTAGCATACGAAGAAATTTAATTTGAATTAGCCCCTTAAATACCGATATTATGTAAAGAAAAAGTGTAGCGAACACCGCAAACAAATTATTTAAAACCGGATTTTTCGAAAATATACTACAGTTGTGTTGACTTCGTCATTTTTGGAGTTTTATTTTTGTTTTGTTATTTGTAGCTGTCAAATTACCGACTTTTCGTATTATTATGAAATGTGAGCGCAAGAGAAAGCTCATTGAAATGGTATAAAAAAGACCTTTGCCTAAGACCTTCTTGTATTCTGTAATTATTAAAAGATATGTTTTTCTCGTTTCAGGATCCTGAACTTGACTTCGAGCCCACGGCTAAACGTAAGCAAAGATTATCGTCGGTATATGAAAGTGAAACTGTAACATCGATGGTGTCGTCCGTTTATCCTTCGCCGGTCGATGATATGGCTATAGTTAATGAGATCGAAATACACAGCTCATCGGAATGCTTGTCAATGGACAATGCCGGATTTGAAATACCACATGACGATATACCTGACAGTCCCAGCAGTTTGCAGCCCGATCAAGAGATGAATGAAGAAATTGTTGACTGCGATGATATGACTGATGAGGAAGATGCTGGGAGCAGTTCAAGTTCAATTGTTTCGGGAGTTAGCTTGTATGACAATACCACGCATCGCGGAGAAAGAACACCAAGAGAGCAATGTTCGCCCATTGTAACTGCCACAACCGCCACCATTAATGACTCGGGTAGCTCTAAATTTTGCCACCAAAGTAAAGTGTGTTCGTTTGATAAATATGTTAATGATCACTACGATTGCTTAACACCAGTTACCGATCCAGAATCACCTCGCCAATGCCCATTACCCGCACTTTCGTGGGCTAATGCCCAAGATGTGTGGCGTCGAATGTGCAGAAAAGACGAACAAGCTAGTTGCTTACGTGATCCCGTCATGTTAGAAAATCATCCAGGTCTGCAGCCACGCATGCGAGCCATTCTTCTAGATTGGTTGATTGAAGTATGCGAAGTATATAAATTGCATCGTGAAACTTATTATTTGGCTGTGGATTATTTGGATCGTTATTTGAGCACCCAAAAAAATGTACAAAAGACCCATTTGCAATTGATTGGTATCACATGCTTATTTGTGGCTGCTAAAGTGGAAGAGATTTATCCGCCAAAAATAGGCGAGTTTGCTTATGTTACTGATGGAGCTTGCGAAGAGAATGATATATTAAAACATGAAATTCTCCTGTTGCAAGCATTGCAGTGGAACATCAGTCCGGTTACTGCGATTGGTTGGTTAGGTGTTTATATGCAGTTGAACGTCAACAATCGTACTCCTGCTTCGTTTTCTACAGTTCGAAATCCTATTCTTAATCACCATACTAATGTTTTAGAAGAACCAATGGCTTTTTGCTTTTCCTCCAAGGCCAGTTCTATGACAGAAATAGATGATGCTTTTGTTTATCCACAATTTTCGGGCTTGGAATTTGTCCAAACCGCTCAGTTGCTCGATTTGTGTTCGCTTGATGTGGGAATTGCTAATTTTTCTTATTCCGTGATTTCAGCTGCAGCTATTTCACACACCTTCAATAGGTAAGTTACTTTATTCATTTTTTAAATTTCTTGTTTCAAATCAGTTCTCCGTCTTTCCGCTTTGCAAAGTAAGTATGATATTCTCATTATCCCTTTGTATGATGAATATTTTTGAAACACAAATCAAAGAGTGCTCAAAGGAGACCAAACAGAATTTTAATCAAAGTTCTGTGCTTTTTATTTAAAGAAAACTCGACGATAGAGTTTAAGCGAGCAAATGCAAAATACATTTTTTACTTTCTCATTACAGGTGTTATTATTGCTTTCATTTTAGTTATTATTTCTTTCTCCATATTTTATTTCATTTATTTTTTGAGATCGTTTTTGTTTATACTTTGAACTTTCCATACTTTTTATTTTGGTAGAGAAACCGCTATACGTTGCTCGGGTCTAAATTGGCATAGTATACAATCATGTGCCGAGTGGATGCAACCTTTTTTTGACGTTATATGCGAAGAGTCCCATCACTTGCATTTATTAGAACAAAATGAACAAATCGATAATAAGTATGGTTTAGGGTATGTTTGCCCAAACATCGTTACCGACGATTCTCATATTATTCAAACGCACACCACCACAATGGCAATGTTTGTAAGTATTATACGTGCACAACATTACTTTAGTATTGTTTTCCTTATCTTTTTAATTTTGCAAGGATCGTGTTTACCTTATAAAGGATCACAATGTAACAACAAAACTGAAGCAAGAGGCTTCACCAGCTACTGGTCTAGTATGTCCAGAAGGCTTGTTAACGCCACCAGCATCCAGCCGCAAGCCCATGGTCACTATTGATGAAGAAAAAGGAGAAGAGCAGCAGCAACACCATCACGTATCTTCAGGATCGGGTATAATTGAGAATGCAGCTTGCAAAAGAAATTAAATGATTAACAAATACGTGAAGAAAACATTATTGCCTGCCAATGTAATACATAAACAATTAGAAAACAAACACCTTTTATTTTGTATATGTAAGAAACGTTAAGTAAAATTGATTATTAATTTAAAATTAATGGGAAATATAGCAAAACAAAAAGTTTCATATATTAAATAAGTCTATTTTAATTTATTTTTATTAATATTCTTATTACTACTACAGATTATAATATAATTTTTACTATTGTATGTTACTGCTTTGTTGTGTTTAAAAGACTTTCTTTTTTAATACATGGACATATGTTTACACATAAAACTATTCAGTGTCGTAAGGAATTGTTCTATCTGTTTCCATTTATTAGAAGCTTATGTCTGTGCGTATATAATTTTTAGTTCTTGTAGCATTATATTTTTTGCTTACCAAAAACATGCATACTTTCCTTTGCTTTTTCAGATTTCAATTATTAAAAATTATTTTCCAAAATTGCATTTGGTTTTCTGCTTTCCTGAAAATGGGCGAAAGCAAAGGTTAGAAGTTTTGGCCCAAAACAATTGCAATTCTTTAATGAGATTAGATTTTTGTTTCCTTTCAAATGTTTTCATTGCCCTTATCTCTCTTTTACTAACAACTACTCACTTTGATAGGAACGCAACAGCCGTATTTTTATATACTAATACATTAAATTTAGCGAAGTAAGTCGAGGTCTGCTAACTATCTTTCTTCCCATCAAATTCCAACATAAACCGGGTCGCAAACTCTTATTTTCCTAAATTAAAGCTTTTCATAAATTAATGGCAATTACTAATCACCATCGGTTCTTTTTTCATTATCCTTGTTTTAGGAAGAGCAAGACTTGAATGAGCGAAAATTACTTTTAAAATCTCGTTTGAAATGGCTTTCATGGTTAACTTTTTGTTGCTACAGTGAGCTCAACATTTGTGGCATAACTATTTAAAGTTGACTTAATGTTGGTAAATATTTTTAATAATTTTTCAAAGAACCTTTTTTAGTTAATTGGAATTAGGAAAAAAAACTGCAAATATAGTGTGATTATAAACCTGTTTTAAGGTTAAAAAAAGAACAAATACTTAAAATAAAAACAGAAAAAATAAAATTGAAGAAACTAACATAGGAAAACAAAACTAATTCCAATTTCTTTTATTACCTTGTTAGAAAACGTATATATTTTCAGGTTATTTTTTTAATTACAAAAATTGTTGTCAAATCCACTTTGCATTCAATTGTACGTCACTAATTTTTTAAATTTAGGTTTTAAGCTCAAATTTACTTTAATTTTAAAAAAGTTAGTCTTAGATTTTCGCTTATACATTGTAGGTATCAAGGATTTCAATTTAATTTTACCTCTTATTATTTTGTTTGTAGAAAATGCTTTCAGCTTATTTAGTGCTTGGATTAAACTTTTGAAAATAACTTCAATTATTACAGAATAATTCTTTATTTGTAACTCTTCAATTTTAAGTTCATCTCCATATAAAATAATGAACAAGAAATATTTACATAAAAAACTTTTAATACGCTTATAAGCCTAAAAAAATGTACAATAAAAAAATAAAAAATTAATAAAGTAAAAAACGTTTTGTAGAACCAATATTTTGCGAATTTTGCAAACTTATATTTCCCGTTTTTGCATCTAAATTTGTAGAAATCTTCATTTATCGATGACTGCTTGCTATATCATCTTTTACTACGATTTGTATCAATTGTATCCGCAAATACGTAATTAGCAGTATCTTTTTTTCGAGCATGATCATAAGAAAATTAGTTTCCTTTGGCGTGTTTATATTCTAGGCCACTTCCGGCAATTTCATATTAAACTAATATGAATAGAGAATCACTCCTTCCTTCCGTCAATCGTCAGTTGCTGCAAACTACCTTGTGAAATAGACGAGTAAAGTATCGTGAATATGTGTTTGGTTTTCCCTTTTTAACAACTTCGCTTCCTAGAAAATCGAGTACTTTCCATGCAGATTCATTAGCGAAGAATGAAGACTGAAGAAAGAGGAAGATATGATAATTGACTGTTGACCACTTAATGGGCGAGCAACCTATTATTACGCCTGCCTCTGCAATTTCACTTGGACTTGTTTTATTTTTATTTGATTCATTTGTCTGTCACACACTCTATTCTTTTTCGCGAGCACCAAAAAAGCAAACATACAGACATTTTATATTGTCGACAACTAATTTATTGAAAAGATGGAAATCCCGTTGAATTTTTTAGTTATTCTATTTAATGTTTTTTATATGACGCAGTCGTGATTTTTGGCGTGATTTCAGCTTAAATTGCGGAAATACCAAAAATTATAGAATTATCCTCGGTGTAAGCAAACTATGCAAATTATTATCCTGGTATCTGGAGTTAACTAAGTTCACCATTTAATTTTTAAAACGCGTAAACTGACACACGGTGTAATAAATTTTCTGTCGATCTAACCAAGTCCGTAAAAGTAATCCGTAAAAATTAAGATTGCTGTTACAATTCTGAAGGTCAGGTTCAAAACTAGTTCTTTCAATTGTTGAAAAACAAGCGGGTTTTCCCACAAACGCATCTGCAAATTGAAAAAATGAATATTTACTATTTTGCGACACATGGTATATTCTTCGGTTTAAAAAATAAATGTTTACATCCGCCACTTAAGCGAAGGCGTTATTATTTTGTTTATTCATTTGCAAGACGAATAATTCACGGCAAAATTAGTAAAATTATACATATATCGATTTCACTAAACCGATGGAACTTCTGTCCTCGAATATGTTCACTATAGATAAAAACTATTAAGGCAATTAGAAAAATTGTAGATAATTTGTATTTTAAAGCGGGTGGTGCTCAAGACCCTCCATAAAGGATATACAAGTCATTACAAATACACGTTAAAGATATAAATTGCGCATTTTATAATGCAATTATAATTTGATTCACTTTACGACCATTTACGATAATTTGTTGAAAAATTCACTTAATGTCGTCAGAAGCGTTTGCAATACCTGATAATAATCACTTGATTGCCAACATTTAAGTTAAATCTCGTCAAAACTAAGTGTCTTCAATACTTGCGCTTTTTTCGTGCATTTCAAAAGTCCTGTTAAACATAATTTGAATTTTTTTGCGCCATAGGAAAAAAAATCCCTTATCACAAGAAAACAGTAAACCTTTGACCTCCATTCTTACTCTTAACCTTACCTAAAAACTATTCTCACTCGATCCAAACGCTGGAGTGATTGGATAATTCTTGGGAGAGATGATACACTTTAATTTTGCAAAAAGTCTTGTTTTGTCCTGGGAATTGTTGACGGATATTATTGTAAAGAGACAAACGCCTGTGTATAAGCCTGATTACTCCAGTTAATAAGCGCAATCACTGTTTCCTTTAATTAAATAAGCGAAGTGTCTTCATACGTGGGCTTCCAAAGCCTTTTTTTTATCTTCAAAATAGAAAACCAGTTCATTGATTTTAAAGCACTTTTGTGCAAAATTCTCTCTTCATATTTTAATCAAATATCTGTAAATCGTTTAAATAATAACAAATTTTATTTGCTGGGATTTAGACTAAAAAAGAATGAGAAGTCAAAAGTGATTAAAATCAAAACAACTTCGGTCAAAGCTAAATTTATGTCGTACCTGTGTACGACCATAACGAATTAAATCGATATCCGTCGGAATATGTACGTTGCGCTTCCTGCGATAATTAATAGCATTTTTCAATTTGTCAGCTAACGCGTCTATGAGAACCCAATCAACGTTTACCGAATCCATTAATAGTTAAGTAGCGAAATGAAAGAAAAAAGTCATACTTTTTTCTGCGTGCTTTTGACTTCTTGTCGTCAGCTTGGTATGTCTTCATTTAAAATATAAATAAATTATGATTATCATTTGCCAAGCGCATTTTTGTGAACAAACGCATGAAAAAGGAGCAGTAAATCATTAAATGAAAAGTCACAAATGTAAAGCAGAAAAAAAATGTGAACGTAGGCAAGCATGTGTGTGAATGCACGGTGCACGGCTTACTTTAAATAGATATAAATTACAAAACACGAAAATGATAATTGAAAATTTTAATTCGATAGTAATTTTTCAATATTTTAACGTTTATGCTCTTTAATGATAATTTAGTGCGGTTACGATATTCCGCGTAAGGGAGTGGATGATAATAACTAATGTTTAAAGCTTTAAGACTTGCCTTGAATTCCCGATATATACTTGTTTAATGAACAGCGACTTATAAGGGCTTCTGTAAAAGAAGAGACAAACATTGCAGCATGAGAGTTAAATGTCTAACTTAAGCCCCGTTTTATTTTGTACTCTAAATCGAATGTAGGATTGAATATTTTTATGAATTCACATATAATCACGACCTAGAAAAAAGCCCAAAATATAACGAGTTGCGTGATTTGAGCAAAAATGAAATGTGTTTGCCTTGCATTGACTATTTAGTTTGTCTGCTTATAATTTAGTGTAAGACTGTACCCGACATCGACAGACGAGAAATACTAATTCTCCCGTTTCACTGGCAATAATCATATTTGCATATCAGGGAAGTACATCTATTCTAGTGGTGAGAGTTCCAAACTTGAGTTTCCAAACTTGCAACGAAAAAAAAGCATATACACATCTAGCACAGAGGTACATTTCTATCTCGTGTAATTCAGAGCTGAGAATGAAACTCCAAGCCTTTGCTAGCCTGGAAAAGCTTGACAACCGCTAAAAACGTCGTCCAATGTTCGAATCATACGAAGGTATCAAGCTTAGAAATTAATTTAGATACTATACAGGGAAAGCGCTCATATTAAGAAGTGTTGATACGATAGAATTTAAAATTTTTTTATTATTATAGATATCATTCATATTTTTGTAAAGAACCCTAAATGAGTCGAAGAGTTTGTAATTATATAATAACGTAAAGTACCCTATTGCAATTTTGACGTATTTATCGGGTTTCTTTACAGATAATTTCGGACCATTGAATTATAATATTTAGGGTAACGTAGGCTTTATTTATAAATCTTAGGAGATCTAGTTACAAATTATGTACATGAACTTGTATATATAATCTTTCAATGCTCGTTCTGGCCTTGCACGTTAGAATATTACAACTTTCTTCACTTGACTGATCTC